TGTGAATTTCTTTTGTAGTTTCTGATTCTTGTGTGAGACTCAAGCCTTCAAGTTTAGGTCTACTTCTTTTTGTGAACTTTATGTGTCTTTGTGATTTACTTTTTGGGCAGGAAAAGATGGTTGCTCTAAGCTTCTAGTTCTCTCCTTTGCTTTTATATTGGAGTGGCCAGATTGCTTTTGTCTTTAGGAGTTCCCACAGAGGCCCAATTCAGATGAGGTTCAAATGCTCTCAGGCTTTCTCCTAAGGTCTGGATCCCTCCAGGAATGATTTTGTCCTCAGGAATTTGGGGGTTCAACTGGCCTGGGACCCTGGCCCAGGAAAGATGCTGGTCTAGGGCAGTGGGTGGCCGTTCCACCCAGAGATGCATAGGAAGATGGGGGCAGGAAGCGGCCCCAAGGACTCCTGGGAACTGCACTGAGGAGCTGGGTTGGTCTGGATGCAAAAGATCAGGAAGAGGAAAGATCAGCCCTGGTGTCCAGGAAAGTGGCTGGCTGGTTGTGCAGGCTCAGGGAGGCAGAGGGAAGTGAGGGCAGGGCTAGGCCCAGAGGGTCCCTGGGGACCTGAGAAGGAACCGGGTTACTCTGGATGCAAAGGATCAGGAAGTAGTGGTGTTTCCCTGGGTGCCTGGGGTGCCAAGACAAGGAATGGGACAGGACCCAGGCTGGGAGAGACCAGTGGGGGAGATGGGAGGGTGAATGAGGCTGGGGAGTCAAGGGGCAGAGGGCGCGATGGACTTACCCAGGAGAGAGAGGCCTGCGGGTCAGAGAGAGCCCAATCTTAAAATTTTTATCATTTTGTACCTTACCATGTGATATATTCAGAGAGTGTTCTGTGAACCTTAAGAAGTGTTTGTGTTCTGGTCATGTTGTAGGGAATGTTCTGTAGCATGTCTGTTTGTCCAGATGGTCTGTAGTATTTTTCACGTTCTCTCATTCCTTATTTAATGTCTCTCTGGTTCATTTTTTTTTTTTTTTTAAGATAGGGTCTTACTATGTAGACCAGGCTGGCCTTAAACTCACAGAGATCCACCTGCCTCTGTCTCTCAAGTGCTGGGATCAGAGGTGTGCACCACTGTCAGTCTGACCTTGAACTCTTGATCTTCTTGTTTCTGTCTACCAAGTGCTGGGATTGCATTGTGCGTCACCATGCCTAGCTGACATCTATTGTCATTATGTTTTTATTTTCCTTGTTATTTCTGTTAATATTTGTTTCATGTATTTGGATGTTTTGCTATTAGGTATTATTTTAGTCTGTTTGGCTGTTGTAACAAAATTTGGGAGTTTATAAATAAGAGATTTCGTTTACAATTCTGGAAGGTGGCATATATAAGATCAAGGTGCCAGCACATGTGGTATTTTGTAAGGGCTCACTTTTCTAGGAGTTGGTGCGTTTGTGCTGTGTCCTCAGATAGTAGAACATGCAAACAAATTCCTTTATGCCCTTTTATAAGGCACTAATCCTGTTAGTACCTTATAAAACTTCTGTGCAGTATTTAATTAGAATTTATATTTCTTTCTGTGTTTTCTTTAGTTTTTATTTTTTTATTATTTTATCATTTCTTCAGTGTATTATTATTGTTGCTGCCTTATTTATTTATTTTTGCAAAGCAGCAAGGGTTTTTCCTTCAAAAGCAAAGTGAAAATACAGAATAGATGCACTGTAAGGGAGCAAGGGAACAAATGAGCAACATTTGTGTAAGAGCCCTGGGTTACTTCTGGGGCTTTCCTTCATGGGTCCTGGTGGAGGTAGAGTTGGTTGTTAAGGGCAGGGTTCAGTGGTTTTCTGCTCTGATGAAGTCTTAAAATTTGTTATTCTTAGCAATTTCATATATGCATATAATGTATGTGGATTTTTTCTACTCATTCTCTTATCACTTCAGATTTATTTATTTATTTATTTATTTATTTATTTATGGTTTTTTGAGACATGGTCTCCCTATGGCCCCAGCTGTCCTAGAACTCACTATGTGGACCAGGCTGGCCTTGATTCACAGAGATCTGCCTGCCTCTGCCTCCCAAGTGCTGGGATCAAAGGTGTGCCCCACCATACCTGGCCTCAGATTTATTTTTAATGTATATTGTGTTTAATAGTAATATTTTTAAGTACCTAGGCTGATTTTTAAAAATAATGATTACCAAACAGCATTTAAGTTATAATTATGTAAGCTTTAAATACTAATCTATATAGAACCAAGTAAATAAATAAACTTAACGAAAGCCACTTTAGCTAGAGAAGCACAGTGGCTTTATCCTTTGATGAAATTCCATATCATATGTGATATACCATCAGCATTTTATTTGGTATTTATGTATGTCTGTCTATTTTTTAATTTAATTTAATTTTATTTACTTTTATCTATCTATCTATCTATCTATCTATCTATCTATCTATCTATCTATCTATCATCTATCTATCTATCTATTTTTTGATCTTTTTGAGACAGGGTCTCCCTGTAGCCCCAGCTGTCCTGGAACTCACTATGTAGACCAGGCTGGCCTTGAACTCAGAGATCCACCTGCCTCTGCCTCCTGAGTGCTGGGATTAAAGCCGTGTACCACCACACCCAGCTTATTATTTTTATTTTATGTGTATGAATGTATTGACTGCGTGTATGTAAGTGTCCCTGTGTCGTGCAGTGCCTGAGGAGGTCAGAAGTGGCATTGGATCCCCTGGAACTGGAGTTATGGACAGTTGTTAGCTACCTTGTGGGTGCTGGGACTTGAACCCAAGTCCTCTGACGGAACACTGGGCCATATCTCCAGCCTCTGTATGTCTATCCTTAGTTTTATTTTCATGTTAAATTCCTTAATGATAATTAGTGGTTGGCATTTTTTTAATGCCATGGCATTCCTTTAATATCTGGCATAACAAACATTTAATATATTTATAATATATCTACTTATCTATTGCAATTCCAATGCTTCAGGAAAAAAAAAAAAATCCTAATCCTAGTACAGAATATTGCAGAGGAGGTAAATAAAATTTGATCCTATGTTTCCTGCTTTCCCTGAGTTTATTTTGTTTGCGTACATTAATCAGATATTAGCTGTCTGCTTGCTATTACAATGCAACATATTGACTGAGAAATTGTGGGACAAATTGCATTTCATCCGGAAGGTGGGTTGTGAAAAATGAAAAATGATTTAAAAAAAAGGTTGGAGACAGATTGTGGTGCATGAGAGTGTTTCAGTTAATTTTGTACAAATGGCATATGTTTAGGTCACAGATCATTTTAGCAGGTTTATATACCTGTGCTTTTTTATTACATCTTGGTGGTTGACACAGTTCATTTTCTTTTATAGTTCGGAGGCAAACTGGTGACCTTTGAAAATGTCAAAGTGCAGCCTCAGCAGGGAGCTGAGCAGCAGCAGCAGCATCACGTGTTCATCAGTCAAGTGGTGACGGAAAAAGAATTTCTCAGCCGATCAGACCAATTGCAGCAGGTTGTGCAGTCCCAGGGATTTACCAATTACTGCCAGAAAAAAGTTGATGCTTCTCAAACTGAGTTTGAGAAAAATGTATGGTCCTTTTTGAAGGTAAAGCGTTTTTTTAAAAGTTTTTAATTACATGTATTTATATGTTTGTATATGTGTGTGTGTGTGTGTGTGAGAGAGAGAGAGAGAGAGAGAGAGAGGGAGAGAGGGGGAGAGAGAGATACACACACACACAATTTGTGGGAGTTGGGTGTCTCATTCTTTGTGGGTTCCTGTGTTCAGCTCAGGTTGTCATGCTTGGTTATAAATGCCCTTTACCCTCTGAGCCATCCCAGTGATCCTAAAGTTGGTATTTAAAATAATTTTATTTTAGTATCAGTGAATTTAATTGTTACTATTGTAATTGAAGCTTATCTTCCTTTTAAAGAAACATTTGAAAGGGATTGAGAGCACTGACTGCTCTTGCAGAGGACCCAGGTTTGATTTTTAGCATCCACATGGTGACTAACAATGGTCCATAACTCCAGTTCCTGAGGACCTCACACCCTCTGACCTCCACAGGCATTGCACAACATGGGTGCACCTACCTACATGCAGGCAATACACTCATACATAAAATTAAACAAAAACAAAAAACATTTGAAACTGTGATTTCAGGAATGCATGATGAAATTTAAGAAGCTCAAGCTGTACATAGTGACAACACACCTATAATGCTAGCACTCTGGGAGCTGAGACAGGAAGATCTCAAGTCTAAGGCTAGCTTGGGCTAAGTAGCAAGGTCCTGTCTCAAAAAGCCAGAAGAAAAGCTTATAAAGAGAATACAACCTAATTTCTTTTTTCCCTCCCT